CTCTTAATATGCCTCATTTACCTTTAAGCATTAAGATGCTTAATAATCATAATCACAATAAATAATAATGAGTCAATAATGACCAAATGAGATAATGATTATAAAGCACTTGGCACAGTGTCTGGCATATAGTAAGCACTGTGTTCTCTATTATTATTATTATTATTATTATTATTATTATTATTATTACTATACCCAGCATTTATTTGGTGCTTTAAGATCTACAAAGAACTCTGTTAAATATTTGCTCATGTTCTCCTCACAACAACCCTGAGAGGTAGGTGCTATTATATAAAGAAACTGAGGCAGGCAGAAGGTGTGACTTGCCCAGGATCACATAGTAAATGTCTGTGATTAGATTTGAACTCAAGTTTTCCTGACTCCAGGACCAGGGCTCTGTCCACTGCTCCACACTATGTTTGATACTCATTTTAACTGATTTCATCTAAACCAAAATGGTGATGGGAAAGATGGAGCATCACAATATAATTGGCCCCAAGCCTCTACACACTCCCAAAAGATGTCCTGGTCCCTAAGAGGGTACTGGAGCTCCTCTGCCTCAGTCTTCTTATTCCTTTGACCTAAAAAGGATGAAAAGAACATGGGAAGTGATAAGGCAGTCTTTAGCAGAAGCCAATTTTTTTAAACTTTATAGCCAAAACCTACTTTGGTGAGGTCAGCTAAGGCATTTATCTCTTTCTTTCCTTCCTCTTTTTTGTTAATTCTCCAGAAGCCATTCCCTGAAACCTCACTTGCCATTACTGACCACATGCTGTGCTCTGAGGAGCTACTTACCCCTTGAGTAACAGGCTAATATATAGAATCACCATCAATTACATGAACAGAGAATAGCACTTACTATTCAAAGAAGACAAACTCCTAGAAAATTGTTACTTGGAAAAAATACCAGACTAAGTGTTTATAATAACACAGCAGATCAAAAAGACCTTGAAATGCCCATTTTACAAGGACAAAAATTGGCCTTTCAGCATTTCCACTTTCCTTCCTAAGGAACTGATTTTTTTTTTGAGTGGGGGGAGAAAAACCACAGGAAAAGAGTTATCCTAACAATTAATGAAGACAGAATGTAAACTGAGTAACTATTTATTTAATGAAAGAAACACTGCAGTGATGATTACATAGTCTAATCACAATTTATGACTTAGCAATAAAAGCAGTGTTTAAGAAGGATTTTCTAAAATTGACTATTGGCATTTTAGGAGGGAATTATCCAAAGAGATACACGTCTGCAGAGCTATCATTTGAATCTGATCTGTAGTGAAGCTAGATGAAAGAGGAGAAAGCATTGCAACAAAGCATTCTATTATTCAAAATTTCATTCTCAGAAGCAAGAACAACAAAAGAGGCCTGAAACTGTGTTTCCAGGCCCTAAACTACCCTGAAGAAACGTGTAAGAAAGGCAGTATTGTTTCTCCTGTACCAAAACTGCCTATTCCTTAGCATCTTCAAAAACCACTAGCATCTCTTGAACCTTCACCACCAGCTCAACCTCTTCACTTATGTCTGCAATCATCATACACCTTCTACCAGAGCCACAGAACTAGCCCTGAGAAGTCAACTCATTTCCTCCAATAAGCATTTATTAAACACTTACTATGTATAAGGCATTGTCAGGTGTTGGGGATACAATGACCAAAAAAAAAAAAAAGAATCTCAGACCTCAAAGGGCTGGTATTCTACTGAGGGTGGAGGGTGAGGAGCGGAGATACAACAGAGAAATGCAATTCATAGGGCTGACCCCAAATAATATGATAATAGTAGGTCACAGATAAGTAGTGTTGTAAGATTTACCTAACACTTTACACACATCTCATTTGTTCTTCACAACAACCCTTCAGGTACATGCTGTTAGTAGCCCCATTTTACAGATGAGACTTGTATAAGTGACTTGCCCAGGGTGATACAGCTAATAAATGTCTAAGCCATATTTAAATCTAGATCTTCCTAACTCCAGATCTGTCTTAAGAAAGAATTAATTATTATATTTAATATATAAAACAACATTTATGCTCATGGATGTTTGGAAACATGACCTAATGTCTGCAAGTGTGAAATAACTAAGAGCAAATTAATTTATCCAGGTCATGGCTTCACTTTCATTTTTACTTGTATCCCTTTATTGGTTTGAACAGCTAATTAGATACTACTGCCTTGCTTGGAAAGAAGCCCTGGAATATAACAAGAGGCAGAAACATTTTTATTTAAATCTTGGATTGCATGGCAGAAACCCACTCTTATGTCACTATTTTAACAAAGTCAGTTTTCAACAGGATTCAGCGTCTTAAGGTCACAAATGACAGATGGATAAACAGGATTTTGATGAATGAATCTGGCAACAGTCATTTCCTTTTCGCAGACATTAGTCTAAGCTATTTCCATGACCAAACATTTACCATATTGCCTAGCTCATGTTCTTCATGTCTCAAGGATATCCTTTCATATTTCATTGACATTGAGGCCGTCCAGTATGAGCTTCCTCATTCATCCTCTTGTCCGTCTCACACTACCTTGGTACACATCACCTTTTTTCCTTCCTCAAAGGCAGAGCTGTCTTTCCTCTGTTCCACAGACAATTCTTGCTCTTCTGTTCTTAGTTCCAACCCCCTCTTGCCCACTCACCGACTTTACTCCATCAATTAGTCCTTCTTTTTGGAACATCTTCAATGTCTTCCTCTCTACAGGCTCCCTTTCCTCTGACTTCAAAGAAGCTCAGGTTTTCTTCTTTTCTATCTGGCTTCTCCAAAAAGCAATTTAAGATGTTGAATTTGGGGTGGTGTGGAGGGATTCGTGGGTCTTTCCTACTACTTAGCATCAAATGCTCTTTAAATAAGTCACTTTTGTGGTCAGTCATTGGCCACAGCAGGAAATAAAAAACAGCTCTCACATCTCAATCATTAATTAAATAAACACATTTATTAAGTTCTTGTTATGTACCAGATATTGTGCTAAGTGCTGGGGATATAAAAAGAAACAAAAGACAGTCCCTGCCCTCAAGGAGTTTACTATCTAATGAGGTAGACAACATGCAAACAAATATATACAAAATAACCTATATACAGGATACAAAGAAAAAATTTAAAGGTGGGAAAACATTAGAATTAAGAGGGGTTAGGAAAGACTTCCAGTAGAGATGGGATTTTAGTTGGGACACAGAAGTCAGCAGGCAAAGTTAAGGAAAGAGAGCATTCCAGGCATGAAGGACAGAGAGAGGCAAAATGCCCAGATCCAAGAGGTGGAGTGTCTGGTTTGTGGAACAGCCAGGAGGCCAATATCACTGGATCATCAAACTTAAAAACTTACAGACACATATACTAAATTATATTGTGAGGCGCAATCACTTGGTCCCTGGTGTCAAATAGGCTGTAATGGAGTTACTGATCGGTCCCACTGAACTTTACAGCACCTGTGGCATCTGCTGTCATATGCGAGGTGTCCCCAGAAGAGTTATCCCAGGTTAAAGGATACATATCCACTTTAAAAAATAGCTCATGAGTCCCCATTCATGTGTCTACTTTCTCTTGAATGGTCAAAGAACACAGTTAACTCAAAGAAAAGGCATTTAATGAAATAGCAAAGCAAGATTTGTAATAAAATCTACCCCCTGACAAACAGAGGGCATACTCAGATATCAGAAGTTAATTCCACACACACACACACACACACACACACACTCACCATCAATGGAAGAATGAACATGAATAGGAATCACCTATGCAACAAAGGGCCCACAAGGGGGAGGAAATGTGTGCCAGAACAACTAATAACTGAGATGTTGTAGTATGACGGCACTCCTCTCACGAGGGTTGCTCCTCAGTGGGCAAATTATCCCACTGGGCCTGTTTTTAAATGAGTGTGTCATCTTTATTGGGTCAGCTCCTCATTAATGTCTCTGCTGGGTTCACTGGGGCAGCTAGGTGACATAGTAGATAGAGTGCTAGTCCTGTCTTAAACACCTAATAGCTATGGGAAACCAACCAACTCTCTGCAGCCTCAGTTTCCTCATCTGTAAAATGAAAAGGCTAGACTTGATGCCTCTAAGGTCCCTTCCAACTCTCACTGTATGATTCTATGGTCTATGATCCTGTAAGTTCTTCTTTGCTGGGCTTTCAGTATGCTGAAGCACAGTGGCTAGACCCTATCCAAATATGGTAGGCTGACATCTCTTTAGTCTTAGACACCATAGCCACCTACGCAATGCTGCAAGGTTAAAACTAAGTCTTTCCCTTTTGAATTCTCCATCTCCGCTGCAGATCAAATTAAGTCACTCTTATACACCCCAAGATCCTCTCTGGCTTAGCTGCAAATGAATTTGAGCCAGGACAAAAGGTAATCTGAGAAGGCTACATACACGAATAAGTCAATATGAGGTCATTTGAAGAAGGCAACAGAGCTGACAACTAGAAGGAACAGGGAAAGCTTCAAGAGGAGGTGGCCCCTGAATGCCCTGGGGACCTTGAAGGATTCAGGGAGGTAGAGTTGAGGCTCATTCCTGGCATGGGGTCTGTTGGAATGGATACATGGAGATGAAAGGTTTCAAAACATTGTTCGAGAACATCTAGTCGTCCAGTTAGACTGGAACCAGTGTATACATGAAGGAGAGTAACTCGAAACAGTCTGGAAAAGTATAGGAGGTTGGAGCTAGACTGTGTAGGACCTACAGTCTTAGAATGGTGTTTTATCCTATATGTAACTGTGAGCCACTGAACATTTTGGGCAGGAGAGTGTCAGAGACCTATGCCTTAGGACGATACTTTCAGCAGTTGTACAGTGGACGCATTAGAGCAGGGCAAACAATTAGGAGTCATAATAGTCCAGGCTGCAGTCATGAGCGACTAGGAGTAGGGAGAAGTAGACAGACTCAACAGGACTAGGAGACTAATTGGATTTAGAGTATGAGAGACGAATCAAGGATAATTGCAAGTTTACAAAACTGAGGAACATGGATGACGATGGTGCCTTCAACAAAAATAGGCAAGCTGTAAGAGGGTCCATCACTTTAATGATAGTCTCTGTTATGTTCTATTAAGGAATCTTTTATCATCTTAAGTTATGCATGAGAAACAACTTTTAAGAGGAAAGCCTTTAAAAATGAGAGAGGGCTGGCCTTGGCCTAATGAAGATCTGGGCCCACGCTGTGCCTCAGACCCAGTGCCACTGGCAACTCTCTAGGATTCTCAGTTACAGAGGAGTTGCCTATCTGAATCTGTAGGAGATGTTTCCACATCACAATTTCTTTACAGTGATCAAATAACAACTGTGGACCAAAAACCTCCAAAATATAAAATAAGAATGGTTAAGTTCTTATGCCTAGAGAAAGTAAGTTCATTTCTCATAACCACACGTACTGCACAGTTTAAGCACTGCACAAGTACCTGGAGAGAATTTTTTAAAATATTAGTCCAACACTGATCCTAACTATGGAATTTTAACAAAAAGTTTTTAAAAAATGAATATGAATAGAACAGTATTATGGCTTAGCTTTACAAAGATACCTTTTGATTTAGAGATTAACGATTTCCATGCTGCACCTCCAATCCCTCTGACATACACACTCGATTGTTACTGAGAGGTATGAATAAAAGAGGAGACCTCCTTTCCTTCACATATATAGCATCTTATTCCCCTAAGACCTGTTTTTTATACAAACTAAGCTAAAATGTAAACACCATAATTTTTAAAGTGATTTTCACTTAATTTGATGTGTGTCTCCCCCGCCTCCCCTTATGTCAATGGGAAATAAACCATTTTCACCAGCTAAAAAGGTACCAACACATGAGTTGTAATTTTCATCTAGAGCCAAGGCCAATCAGGAGAACATGTACACTGTCCAAATTATTTCCATATTCTTAATGTAAAGAAAGCTTCTTCGGAGTTAGAAATTATTCCCTGAGATGATAATTTCACATAAAGCTATTAAGCTTTTCCACACTTAAACTAAGAAAAGCCAAAAATTACAGAAACATGATGTGGGGCATAAAATAGCATCCCTGCATAGTTACCACTTATATTCATTGTTGTCAGGATCCATTTTGACTGATTTTTTCCAAGTTCTCAAGAGTGAGTCTAAAAAACTGCAGTGGTCACTTAGACTATTTTTTTTAAGTACAATCATTATATAAAGGCTATCATTTTAAAAAATCTGGTTCAGTTTATAAGAACTACGATAACCAAGAAAAATTTCAACTTCCTTACTAATGACAGAATTTTTTGCATGTACTTGCATAGCATTTTTTTTCTCTTAAAAGACAAAATTACTGGTCAATGAAAAACTGGTCTGTACAAAGGCAGACTCTCTAAGTCTATTGTTTTTCACTTTTATTGCCAGAAGAAAAGTATGTGAGAAAAAAAAATTGCTACTTAACTGAGTTCCCTCGTGAACATTTAGGAACAAAATTTAAAAGTCAAGACAATTAAATTAAATTTATTTTTACAATAGAAAAGCATGATTGCTCAGTAGCTATTCCATGATCCTGAAGGCTTAAATTTTTATATTTTCAAAAGGACAAGATTAAAAATTAAAACTATAAAAGGTAGGAAAACAATTACTTCCCAGGCACCTCAACCCTGGATGTCTTTTCTTTAAGAGAAAATCAACTTAATATACAATATTGCATATTACTGAAGGAGGAGTTATTTGTTTCTTTTCATGAACTTTTTTGCTTCTTTCAAAAGCTCTTTAACATCTTCATCTTCTTGGTCTTCATTTGCTGGCTCCCAGTCAGAATCCTCATCTGTTGGTTCATATTCTTCTTCTTCATCATCTAAAAAGCTGTCATTCAAATCATACTCATTCGGTTGGCCATCATTAGCACTATCTTCATCCAAAACACTTGCACCTACACAAACAGAAGATTTGAATACTTAACAATGTAATTACTTCTAAATCATTACTGTCTCTTAGTTAACTGAAAGCTAATTTCAGAAGCTCTGGTTGCAGGAGAGAAAAAAAACAAAACAAAAGTGAGATGAGCAGCCACCACAAAGTCCTGGGAAGTACACTAAAAGTATCATTTATCCACATGATGGGCAGTATAATATAATGGAAAAAGCTGGTTTTGGAGTTAGGAAGCCTGAGTTTGAATACTGGTTCTGACACTAGCTTTGTGAACTTGGTTATTAAGTTACTTAATCTCCAAATCTCAGTTTTCTCATCTGCTATATGGAGAAAAGACTTGCATTACTTACCTTACAGAGTTACTGGAAGAAAGAACTTTGTAAACCTGAACAGTCCTACAGAAGTGGAATTATTATTGTAAGATTTTCAGCAACTGCCATTGGTTCTGATTCCCATTAAGACACAGACTGGTATAAATAAAATTAAGTCCCTATGGACATCATAATTACTAATAATATTATTTACTACAATGTATGCAAAAAGTTTTGAAAAGTAAAGTTATTATAATTTTATGTCAAAAGCGTTTAGCTTGTCAAAGCTAAGATTTCTATAATTATATTTATACAAAGAAATTTCCAGATATCATGCTTCTGGCACCCCAATATGTAGTTCCTCCACAGTAAGCAAGAGGAAAGCAGAGTACAACCATAACCAAGCGGGCTCTACTTTGAAAGCTTTTGCCTAAAATTCTATACTAAGTACGGCAGAACACATGAGTTTTAAACAAACACTGAAATGAAACATCTGGTTAGAAGGCTCTGGATCACAGGATCAGAAGTTGTTAGCACCTTGGCCTCTGAATGCATCCTTTTTTTTTTTCACCTGACTCTAGGATTTCTTTGGTGTGGTAAACTACAGTGTGGAAATTCCCTTCCCTAATGCAGATGGGCAGCTCATCTGTAACTTACAGCATCAGACTGTTGCAGTGCGGGTAAGAAGATTGCCCAGATGTGTGCCCGGGGGTACTCAACTTTAGTATTCATCAGAGGCAGTATCTGAACAAGAGCCTTCCTGATTCCAAGGCCATCTTTGATTCCACTACACCCTTCTGCCTTTCACCTCTGTAGACACAATGGTAATTTTTTTCCCTAAAATATTTATATACAGTTAGATAGGAAATAAGAGATGGTGGTCACTGAGCTAAAGGCATCTAGAATTTAGGAATAAGCAAAGAAACAATGAAGATGAATGAAGATTTATAAATGGTGAGGTTTTTTTAAGTAAAAGAAAATAAATAGCTTTATTCTTAGCCTCTTCAAGGTCAAATCAAATCTGCTCATTTTCAAAGTCACTCTTGACATCTGAGCAAGCTGTAATCTGAAGAACTATAGGCTTACAGCTAGAAGGGAACTCTGAGATCTTCCAGTCCAATGACTTCATTTTACAGATGAGGAAACTGAAGCTCAATGAAAGTAAAGGACTTTCCAACAACTACTGGTTTTCAAACTCAGCTCATATGACTCAAAATCTTATGTGCTCTCTACCACACAGGCTGCTTCTCTGAGATGCAGGCCACCTGAAAGAGAACTCCCACACAGTGGGCAAACAAAATTAACTTTCTCCCAATTGTTTTATACAATAATGGATCGAAGTGACAGCTGGTCATTTTCAGATAACATTATGCTAGAAATAACACTGTATGTGTTTTAAAGCACTGACCTGAGACTCTCTGTGAACCAAACAATTATCAGACCTTCTAGCAGCAATTAAATTAATGACCTTGAGATTTACATATATCAACAATCATCTAGTTGGGAGCTTGTTTTTCTTAGCTTTCTAGCAGTCTAGATGTATTTTTAGGGGTGTGTCAGCTCTCTTCTTCGACAAAGCCATGCCAAACAGCATTCAGTAATGGATGCCTATCTGCTTGGCAAACTGCTTTGAAAAGAAGGCACTTGTTGATCCTGACTGTGACAAGCTTTCTTGTACCTTGGCAGCAAGTTCGGGAATCAAGACTCTATTTCTAAAATAAATACTGCTAACCTTTTCATTTAAGTTGCTTGAAAAGTAACAAGAAATTGTGCTGTGTCTATCTAAGGAATGAAATGACTATCTTCATAAAATAAACATAATTTACTTTTATGCAAAAATTAAATAGTGGAACATTTAACACAATAAGAAAAAACACAAGTTCTCTCTGATTTAGAAAATACAGCATAATTATACCTAGAAATTGGAGATCTAAACAAAAAGAGATAAAATCTGTAAAGTGCAATGGGATCTTACAACTTCAGTTACTAGAGACAATTCAGAAGAAGATCGCCACCCAAGAGAGTTTGGTCCTAGGGTACCAAATGAACTGTTATAAAGCAGTCTCACCACTAAGGTGGTTGGCTGCAGGGCAACAGTCCCTAGAAGAGCCTTATCCTGAGATTCCCATGTACTTTCATATAAAAAGGTCAGAAAAAAGCAAAGTAATAACATTAGAAGTAACAGCTGCTTTAGATTTAAAGAGCCATTACTTTTCAGTACTTTTCTCTCCCATTCACAATAATTTCATAGAACCAAACAGGATAAAAGTTTTTTTTTCCTGTTTACATAAATACAAAAAAAAATTTTAAAACCTTCCCCATGGCTTAAAGGCAGCAAGGTGGTGCAGTAGATAGAACACTGAGCCTGGAGTCAGGAAGACCTGACTTCAGATACTTTCTAGCTATGTGACCCTGGAGAAGTCACTTAACTGTGTTTGCCTCAACATCCTCCTCTCTCTCCCCCTTCATTAATTCAGGCCTTTGGCAACTTTTACAAGAGCCTCTTCATTTGTTTTTACACTCTGGCTCCTCCTTCTTCTACTCTCTATTTTACAGACTGCCATCACAGAATCCCAGAAACTTAGAATTGGAAGAGACCTCAAAGGCCATCGAGTCTCAATAGTCCACTAGAATGTAATGACGAGCAGTTAGTCAGTTCTCTGCTTGGAAATCTCCACTGAGGCGCCATCTGTGACTCTCAAGGCAGCTCGATAACCTTGGGGATACTGCTCATTATGAGGATTAAACCTGCCATTCTGCATTTCTATTCCTTGGTCTCTATACTCTTGGGACAAGAAGAACAAGTCCAGACCTTCCACATGACATTCTTGAAAACAGCTACAGAAATGCCTGTAAGTCTTCTCTTTTATATGGTAAAAATCTTCAATTCACCCACCTAATTCTCATATGGCATTATCTTAATGCCCTTCACCATACTCATCACTCTCCTCTGTATTCTCGACACCTTATCAATACTGTTCTTAAAATAAGGCACCCAAGTTAAGGCAAAGTATGGCAGGATTATCCCTTCACTGACCTTAGATGTCATGCCTTTATAACTGTGAATACCTTTCCTCCATATGCTCGATGGTCTAGCCAAACTGGTCTTCTTGCCATTCCTCACATACAACAGTCCATCTGCCATCTCAGTGCCTTTGCACTGGCTGTTCCTTTTCCTGGAACAATCTCCCTCTTCATCTCTGCCTCTTGGAATCTTGCTCAGCTCAAGCACTCTCTGAGGTGCTATGAAGCCATCAGGACCACTTTGGGGAGGCAGTGATTCTGTGGGTTCTGAGTCTATTATCTGGCCTACATTTCTTCATTTTGATAAAAATAACACCAAGAGATGCTATCAAATACTTGGCCATAATCTAGGTAAACTAAATCTTGATCTAACTTTAAAAAAAAAAAAGGAAATAGGGTTAATTTGGCTTGGCCTATTCTTAATGAAGTCATGGTGGCTCTTTGCAATCAATGTGGCTTAGCAATCACATCTAACAGTTCCTTCCATAACTTGGTATACCCAGTTTGACAGAACCTAGTGATCTAAATATTTCCAAGGTAGCAAAGTAATCAAACATTTATTAAATGCCTCCTACGTGCTATGGAAAGCACTAGGCACTAAGTATATAAAGACAGACGTCAAAAAGTCCTCTACCTTGAGTAGCTTACAATCTAGTGAGGAGAGGCATGTACCATAGATAGACATATAAAACAGAAACAAGGAGATGGGGGCAGGGAAGAAGGAAAGAAATAGAAGCTAAGGGGATCAGGAAAGACTTCATGTTGAAAGTCGTACCTCTAGAGGCAGAGCCAAGATGGCAAAGCAAAGTAATCACTTTTTCCCAGCTCCCAACATACCCCTCCAAACCACTTTTTAAAAAGCACATCACAACCAAATTCTAAGTGGGATAACCAATAAAAAATCACAGTGAGTCATTTGTCTAGCCCAAGGTACCTAAAGAAGACTGAAAAGTTTGTAGACCCTGGCAGTAAGGTGGCAGCAGTAGCGACAGCACTGAGAGTGCTTAAGCACTCTGGGACACTTTAGGGGACCACCATGCTAGTACTGGGTACAGGACCAGGTGTCATTTGGCATCTTCACTGCCAATTACTCAGTTCCAGTTATAGGTCCAGAGTGAAGAAGATCATTTGCAGTTGCAAGGAAGCAGGGACTCCACCTGGGTAAGGACCAAACCACAGACTAGGAAGGCAGTGACCAGACCTCTGCCCAGGTCACACTACCTAGCAAGCACTGAAAACTTACATGCCCCAAACCTGAGAAAGCAGCAGGACATAAAAATCAGAAGACTAGACCCAACATTCCCACTGCCCCAGAGTGAGCAGAGCCCAGCTCTAACATAAAGTCCAAAATCAAACAAAATTTAATCAAAATGTGAACTATCTCATAGGAAAAACAACTGACCTGGAAAATAGATCAAGGAGAGATAATTTAAGATTATTAGTCTACCTAAACTCCATACCTGAAAAAAGAGCCTAGACATCATATTTCATGAATTTATGAAGGAAAACTTCTCAGATATCAGAACCAGATGGCAAAATAGAAAGTGGCCTTCCCTTTACCCCCACTCCCACAAAACCCTTGAAAATAAGATCTGCTTTTAGAAAAAAATCAGTACAAATTCTTTCAATTTTTTTCAAGTACTAGTATTGCACATCATATAGTGCAAATAAAAACCATTTCTCTTTTTCTGTTTGTGTATCCTCAAAGTTCTAAATGAAGATATTTTAGAATGTGAATTTACATTCCCTTTATAATGTTACTGTAACTGTCCACTTTTATGAGATATTGTGTTTTCAGAATTGCTGAAGAAGTGTTTGTCAGATGTATTTTTAAATCAGATCATCATTTTACAAGTAAATTATATAAGCAGAGACTTTCTGAAACTGCTAATTTTCCATGCAGGTTTTCTGTATTGGGATTTAAAATAGCAGCTATTTCAACAAAGATCAACAGCTGATAGCTAATACTTCAATATTTTCTTTATTAAGCAAGAAGCTTCATCAAAAAAAATCTTTTTTTCTTTGTAAAAACTTTCATATTATATCTATGGCAGTTTCTTTTCTTTTAAAAGAAAAAAAGATGTGTTGGATCTGAGTAGAAATGCATTATAAAAGATCATGAGTGGCATTTTCAATTTCACTGACAAGGAATATATAACATTATAAAATTTCTTTTAAAAATACTTACAGAAATGTCATTTCCTTTCACTTTTCAATGTTCCAAATTTAATTTTCAAATGTAATAGAAACTACCATTTTAGCATTTCTCATCATCAGTGGACATGCAGCTTATGTGAAAAATGCCCCCATCTCCAACTTTGCCTGTTGAAATCCTACCCTTCTTTTAAAGCCCAGCCAAAAGCCAACTCTATCATGAAATCTCTTCTTATCATTTTTTTATTTCACTCAGTCAGATTCCCCTCAAATCAGAAAGTATTTTGTTTTGGACATAAGGAATTCATCATCAATTATTTTGTGTTAGAGCTATCTTGTATTGGTTACTAACACACTCTCCCCCATTCCCACCCAAAAAAGAGAAACAAAAAAACCCCCAAAACCCATCCAAGAAAAAAAACCTCTATTTAAGATTAATATTCTTCAAGTGATGCTGCATGTTATGAATCATGCAATACCACACTCTATGAAGAATCAAAATTGTGAGTGATCTAAAGTGAAACAGAGAGATGCACAGTGGGCATAAGCAGGCTGCAGCCTATTACTAACAATGATGTGTGCACAAAGTGGAGTAAGAGGTATTATTAAGGAAACAATCAGAAATGGAGGTGGGCTAGCCATGAGAAGTAGTGAAGAACAGAGAGACAACCTGAAGGCTGCACTAATAATCTGAGAAATATTAAAGAGGAAACCTTCTGGGACATGAGACAGATTCCCTGTGGAGGATGTGTGAAATGACACAAAAAAGAATCCCATAAGAGGTGTGGATGGCTTGTCATTTGTGTCCTTGCAGGGAGTAACCACATAAGTGAGGTTAGAGTTCTTGGTCCCTCTCCCCACTCAGGGCAGGAAGTATCTCATCTAACCCTTTATCTCCTCTAGGCCTTAACACAATGCAATGCCCAGAGAAGACACCTGATGTTTCTTAAATGGAATTATTTTTATATCCTAGTATGTAAGAAGATTTCACCAGATTTTCATCTTGCAGGGTTTTTTTCCTTTCAGATTTTCTCATACAGAATAGCAACCTTTTAAAACTTTTGCTTTAAACCACGTTACTCACCTTTCTTAGCAGCTTTGTGCCTAGATCTTTTGGTTTTCATCTCTGCAGAAATACATACAGGTGTTATTATAGTAGTAGAGATTCTACTTAAGTAGAATTGAATAAAAAATTCAAGCCTCAAAGAATATTTTTAGTAAATTACAAAGATAATAAATACCAACTAGAGTAAGACATTTTAACAAGGGATCAAAATAACAGATGAATATGGCATGGGGATTTCTTTAAACTCATGTTTGCCAAGGCAAAACTAAGTATTTATAAACTCACATACTCCTCTGTCAAGAGAGACATGACCTAGTAGATAAAATGATAGACCCAGCCATCAGGAAGACTTAAATCCAAATCCCACAGGTAAATCCCTTAACTTCTAGAAGCATCAGGTAACTCTATAAGACTGAGCTACTAAGTGCCAACACTTAGAAAATTACAGATCCTTGACTTTTCTAAATTAGATTCTTCTACTACTCAAGACCTTTTCTTTTTTTAATTTTATTAATTTATTTTGATTTATCAACAATCACTTCAACATGCTTTTGAGTTTAAAATTTTTCTCCCCCTTCCTCCCCACCACCCTCCCCAAGACAGCACACAATCTCACCTAGGCTATTCATTTACATTCCTATTAAACATATTTTCATATCAGTGAAGTTGTAAGTAAAAATTAAAACCAATAGGAGGAACCATTAGAAAGAGGAAACAAAACTCAACAGAAGAGAAAAAAAATGATAGCTATTCAACTTTCATAGTTCTTTCTTTGGATATGGATAGCATTTTCCATCACGAGGCCTCTGGGGATGTCTTAGATCCTTGTATTGCTGAGAAGGGTTAAGTTTATCAATATTAGTCATCGCACAACATGGCTGTTATTGTGTACAAAGTTCTCTTGGTTCTGCTCACTTCACTCAGCATCAGACCATACAAAGTCTTTTCCAGGTTTTTCTGAAGTCAGCCTGTTCATTATTTCTTATAGCACAATAGTATTCCATTACATTCATATACCACAACTTGCTCAGCCATTCCCCAATTGATGGGCATCCTCTCCATTTCCAATTCTTTGCCACCACAATAAATATTTTTGTCCATGTGGGTCCTTTTTCCCATCTGTATGACCTCTTTGGGATATAGTCCTAGAAGTGCTATTGCTAGGTCAAAGGATATACACAATTTTATAGCCCTTTGGGCATAGTTCCAAATTGTTCTCCAAAATGGCTGGATCATTTCACAACTCCACCAACAACGCATTAGTGTTACAATTTTCCCACATCTTCTCCAGCATTTATCATTTTCCTGTTTTGTCATGTTGAAGACTTTTTCTTTTTAAAGTAATATATTACATACTTTAAGCCAAACCAAATGAATAGATATCTAACAAATATTTATCTTAAAATAAATTTTTATTGATATATTTTGTTTTGACATCACCCAAATTTCCCCATCTCTTTCCCCCTAAAGGGAGCCATCCTTTAAAACAAAGATTTTAAAAGGAAAAAAAGGGGGAAAAAATCAATAAAACTTTTTAATATATCAATAAAACCTGACATTATACTTCAGGTTCTGCATCCATGTCCCCCTCCCCTCAGCAGTGGAAGACAGATATCTTCTCATTATTGTATACCACTTATTTCCTCTTTGTACTTTCGCATTCTCCTTTTATTCCCTACATTTATGCATAAAGTTATCTTTCATATAGTATGTTCCCTTTTACAATCAATCAACAAATATTTATTGTTTACTATGTGCAAGGTTCTGGGGATACAAAGAAAAAAATTCAACAGTCCCTGCCCACAAATAGCTTACCATCTACCAAAGGAGGCAACAAAGGAAATACAAAGCCATTCTGAGGTAACAGGCCCTAGCAGCTACAGAGAACCCCTAGAATGACCTTGTGTTTACTTTGTCCATACCCATTGCAATGAGGCCCATGAAAAGCCTTTGGGGAGAAGCAAAAGAGGCATGGGGAATCACTGTGCTTACACCACATCTGAATACATCTACTATCTGGGACTGGCTTTTCATCACCTATCATTAATTGTTAATGTTCTTACATCCTTTGAAAATCTTGGTAAAGGTATAATTCATTCAAAGGTAATCACAGGTAAAGGTATGTTCATTCCTTGCTGTGTCCCAACCCAAGGCCCTTCAGGACTAATCCATTTGTATACTGACATGTTGTCTCCTTGATAAGACATGATTCTTTAGCACAAGTACAATTCATTTTTGTCTCTTGATCCCCCAGATCTAGTATGCTCTGTCACAGTAAATGCTTGTTGAATTGATAGCTTGTGCCTAAGAAGGCACAAGACCTGAGCTTTCAAGAAAACTGGAGGTTTTAAGAGTCTGGGGTAAGAAGGGAATGTATTCTTGGCATGGGAGGGAGTTTGTATGAAGGCACAGAGATAAAGGATCAAATGTCACATTTGAGGATGAGGAAGTTTGGCTGGATCTCAGACTGTGTGAAGGGGAATAAGGAATAATAAACCTGGAAAGGACAGTGGGATCCAGATTGGGAAGCACTTTAAATTTCAAATGAAGGATTCTATATTGGTTCTAGAGCTAAAAGGGAATCACTAGAGCTTGCTGAGCATGAGAGGGACATGATCAGTCTGTACTTTAGGAATATCATTTTTTCAGGTGTGTGGAGAATGGACTGGATCCAGGAGAGACATGAGAAAGGGAGATCAATTAGAAGATATTACAATTATCTAGATGAGAAGTGTGAAGGGCCTGAACCACAATGGTGCTATGTGAGTGGAGAAAAGTGTATAGATGACAGATGCTAAGGAGACAACATATAAGACTTGTCAACTGATGAACTATGTGGGATATGGGAGAGTGAGTGGTAGAAAACAATTTTGATGTTACAACCTGAGTTGATTGAAGGATAATGATGCTTTCAACAGGAAGAATAAAGAGGGATAGGGTAGCTGAAGGAAAGGAACATACTGGGTTTGAGATGTTTTCGGACATCCAGCGAATGTGAGACTGAGGCTAAGGAGAAAGACTTAGACTGGATCTCTAGACTACAGAATTATTTGCATAGAAATGATAACTGTTGTTAATTCTCTCTCCTTTCATAAATTATCTTTTATTTACTAATCTGTGTCCATGTTATATCCTTCCCTCCAACCCAGCCACTCAGTAAATGGTAAGTTTCTCAAGAGTAAGGACTGTTTTTTGTTTAGTTTTATATTCTCAGTGCCTCACACAGCAACTGAAGCCTCGTCATTCAAACAGAAACTTCTCTGTTTAGCTTTTAAATCCCTTTACAACCTGCTTCCAGCCTCTCCCCACTTTTTGTAGTCCAGCCAATCTGCCTCTGTGCTGTTCCTCACACATGATCCTCCATCTCTACCTCCTCACCTGCAAACGGGCCATCTGTCCTTCATGACTATAACATACTACTCCCTTCTGCCTCACAGAATCACTTATTTACTGCAAGTTTGCTCAAGAGATACTTTCACACAAAGCTTTTCTATCTCCCCAGCTGCCAGTGCTGACAAACTTTATATTTCATTTAAATATATTTTGTATACACTTATTTATGTATATGTAAAGAATGTAAGTTCTGTGAGGGCAGGAATGGTTTCATTTTTGTCTTTGTATCCTCAGTGCTTAGCACAGTGCCTGGTACACAGGAGATGTTTAATTAACACTTATCAATTAATTGGTAAATAAATGCTCATTGGATTATACTGAAAAAATTTTCTATGAAGCTAATTGTTCTCCTGTAATTGTGCTTTATCTACCCTTGAATTTTCACTTATTTTTGTCACGTGAATTGTGCCTCATTATTTGCCATTAAAAATTCAAGAATTTCTTGCAAAATGGATAATTTTGATTACATTAAATTAAAATTTTTTTGCACAAACAAAGCCAATGCAACCAAGATTAGGAGGGAAGCAGAAAACTGGGAAAGAATTTTTACAACCAGTGTCTCTGATAAGGGCCTTATTTCTAAAATACATACAGAACTAAGTCAAATTTATAAGAATACAAGTCATTCCCCAATTGATATATGGTCAAAGGATATGAACAGGCAATTCTCAGATGAAGAAATTAAAGCCATCTATAGTCACATGAAAAAAAATGCTCTAAATCACTACTGATTAGAGAAATGCAAATCAAAATGACTCTAAGGTACCACCACACCTATCAAATTTGCCAACATGACAAAACAGGAAAATGATAAATGTTGGAGAAAATGTGGGAAAATTGGAACACTAAAGCATTGTTGGTGGAGCTGTGAAATGATCCAAACATTCTGGAGAGCAATTTGGAACTATGCCCAAAGGGCTATAAAAATGTGCATACCCTTTGCCCCAGCAATAGCACTTCTAGGGCTATATCCCAGAGAGATCATACAAATGGGAAAACGACCCACACGTACAAAAATATTTATAATATTTCTTTTTTGTGATGGCAAAGAATTGGAAATTGAGGGGATGCCTATCAATTGGGGAATGGCTGAACAAGTTGTGGTATATGAATGTAATGGAATACTATTGTGCTATAAGAAATGATGAACAGGCTGACTTTAGAAAAACCTGGAAAGACTTGTATGGTCTGATGCTGAGTGAAGCGAGCAGAACCAAGAGAATGTTGTACATAGTAACAGCCATGCTGTGCGATGACTAACATTGACAGACTTAGCCCTTCTCAGCAACACAAGGATCTAAGACATCTCCAAAGGTCTCATGATGGAAAACGCTATTCACATCCAGAGACAGAACTATGGAGTTTGAATGCAGATGGAAGTATATTTTTGCTCTTTTTTTTCTTCTGTTTTGTTTTCTTTCCTCTTTCTTGTGGTTTCTCCTATTGGTTCTAATTCTTCCTTACAACATGACTAACGTGTGAATATGTTTAATAGGAATGTATATGTATAGCCTATATCAGATTATGTGCTGTCTTGGGGAGGGAGGTGGAGAAGGAGGAGGAGAAAAATTAAAAACTCAAAAGCTTATGGAAGTGATTATTGATAAATCAAAATAAATTAATAAATAATTCAAGATTTCTGAATGTGGGTTAATATGCTAAACATTAAAATCACAACAAAATCACAAATTCACAGAATCTCAACATAAGTAATACCATTTTCATGATTTTTAGTTTTATGAAATAAAAAGATTTACCTGAAGGTTCACTGTGCTTATATTCTATCTGGTGTTGAGGATTCTTCCTGTAAAGAAAAAAAAAACCAAGCTAAAATCAAGTTCACCAAGTAATAACTGCTTAGATACTAGTTTTTGACACAGAAACAAAAACCACCAGAATTGGCAGGGACCTCAGACTCCATGCAGTCCAACCCACGCCTGAACAAGCATCCTCTCTATGATATGATGTAAAGTGGTTATTCAACTATTGCTCAATGAAGCACAATGAAGAGGAACCTTCAGCTTTTGAAGGCACTCCACAGTATTCTGAGACATCCATTTATTGGAAGTTTTCTCCATCCTAGTGGCCATCGTCTGGAAACTTTCCAGCTTGTCAATGTTCTTCCTAATATTCTACATGTGGTCTCACTGGGGCATAATCAGGTCTAACCAGGAGTATTAATTAGAGTATCAAGAAAAAACTAGGCTTCTTTAAATACAACTACATCTTTCCCATCTTGTTCTTGTGAAGTTGATTCTCTGGACCCAAGGAAAAACCTTTTTATTGATCTCTATATGGCCCAGTGGATAGACCCTGGAATCAGGAAGACCTCAGTTCAAATCTGGCCTCAACACTTGATAGCTACATGACCCCAGGCAACTTAACCTCTGTTTGCCTTATTTTATAGGAGGCAGAAAAAAAATTTTTTAAAGGACAGCAAGAAAGCAAAATGGCCTTTTGATGAGGTTTTACAAATAGCTGAGGAAAGAAGGGAAGCAAAAGGGAAAGGAGAAAGGGAAAGATATGCCCAACTGAATACAGAATTCCAGAGAATTGCAAGGAGAAATAAGGTTTTCTTAAGTGAGCAATGCAAAGAAATAGAAGAAAACAACAGAATGGGAAAGATGAGATCTCTTCAAGAAAATTAGAGCTATCAAGGGTTCATGCAAAAATGGGCATGATAAAAGACAAAAATAGTAGGCACTTAACAGAAGCAGGAGAGATTAAGAGGTGACAAGAATATACAGAAGAATATATGAGAAAGATCTTAACATTACTCATAACCACAATGGGGTGGTTACTGATCTAGAGCCAGACATCCTGGAGAATACAGTCAAGTGTGTCTTAAGAAGCACTGCTAACAATAAGGCTAGTGAAGGTGATGGAATTCTAGCTGAACTATTTAAAATCATAAAAGATGATGCTGTTAAAGTGCTACACTCAAATATGTCAGCAAATTTTGAAACTCAACAGTGGCCACTGGACTGGAACAACTGCCACCATTTCACATGCCACCAAGGCTATGTCTAAGATTCTGCAAGCTAAGCTTCACCAATGTGTGAACTGAGAATTACCACAAGAGCAGTCTGCTTTTAGAAGAGTCAGAGGAATGAGAGACTAAATTGTCAACAATTGACGGGTTATGGAGAAAGCAAGGGAGTTCCATAAAGACATCTATTTCTGCTTCATTGAGTACACTAAAGCCTTTGACTGTGTGGATCACAACAAAATACGGCAAGCCCTCACAGAGATGGGAGCACCAGATCATCTCACCTGTCTCCTAAGGAACCTGTATGGCGGCAAAGAACCAACAGTTAGAACCAAACGTGGAAGAACCGATTAGTTTAAGATTGGAAAAGGAGTACAACAAGACTGTATATTCACTTTATTTACTTCACTCATACACGGTGTACATCATGCGAAATACTAAGCTGGATAAATCAAAAGCTGGAATTGAGGTTTCTGGGAGAAACAGCAACTTAGATATGTAGATGATACCACTCCAATGGCAGAAAGTGAAGAGGAATTCAGAAGCCTCTTGATGACGGTGAAAGAAGAGAGTGTAAAGCTGGCTTTAAAATTAACATCAAAAGATGGCAACTGGTTCCATCATTCCTTGGCAAATAATGGGAGAAGAAATGGAAGCAGGGTCAGATTTTATATTCTTGGGCTCAAAGATCACTGCAGATGGTGACTAAAGTCATAAAATTAAAAGACACTTGCTCCTTGGAAGGAAAGCTATGGCAAATCGAAACAGCATATTAATAAGCAGAGATATCACCTTGCTGATGTATGGCTGTGAGAGTTGGACTATTAAGAAAACTGAGTGCCACAGAATCAACACCTCCAAATTATGATGCTGGAGAAGATTTCTGAGACTCCCTTGAAAAGCAAGGAGATAAAATCAGTCAGTACTGATAGAAATTAATTCAGACTAGACAGCAGAGGATGAGATGGACAGATACTGTCATGAACAATAAACATGAACTTGGACAGACTTTGAGAGATAGTGGAGGATACAAGGGCCTGTCATGCTATGGTCTATAGGGTTACAAAGAGTTGGATATAACTGAACAACATCTCTCTTTTATTTGTCTACAAAAACAGCATGAAAGACTTTGACAAATTATTTGCTAAAATCTAGGTAAATGGTATCTATACATCCCTTCAATGTAATAGACTAGTCATGCAATCAAAAACAAACCAAAAAAAAAAAGATGTTAAATTGGCAGGACCTATTCTTGATAAACTATGCTGGTCTTCTTTGATCATCATTTTCATTTCTAGATGCTCACTAACATCTATAATAATATATTCTCATATTTTGCCCAGGAATCAAAGTCAAGGTTATCAGCCTATAGTTTTAAGCCCTATTTTCTTTCCTTTATTAAAAATCAGGATATCTGTTCTTCTCAAATCACATGGTGCCTTTCCTCTGTTCTCTACAGTCTTTCAAAGAATAATGACAATGGCTCAGTTTTCATACCTGCCAGGAACCTCTAGAGTTCCTAAGGACAGTTAACTTGGGCATGACTTGAACTCATAAAGCGCAGCTAGACACTCTCTTACTAAATCTCAACTCATCTTGGTTATTTACTTCCTGTTGGTCAGTTTGAGTTGGTCCTTTCCAATGCAAAGATCATTCTCCTTGGCAGAGAAAGTAATGTATCTTGGTCGATACACTTTGGCAGTTTCCCCACTAACTATTCACTTTAAAGAACTTATGATCAGATTTCCAAGAATATAGGAAATTACACACTTAAACAACCTGTTTACTTTCTCAATAACCTTTTACCCTGGGCTTGCCAACTGCCTTTCCTTTTCTTTCTCTTCAAATCCTTCTCCTCTTTATTCTCTTTCCTGAGTTCTCCTTTGTTCTTCCTAAGCTCCATCCCTGTGTAACAGACTGCCATTCCTATTTTAAGCCATGATCTAGAAATCCAAATTCTATTCTCAAGTGTTTGGCCTCACCTTCATTACCAAGCTGTTCATTTCTCAAATATGTGTACTTTCTGAAGCCCTTGCCTTCAACAGAAAACAATGATGCAAACATCTGTTTTGCCAAGTCATGGGAGCTTCTCTATCATATCTTAGATACATCTGGGAATGAATGAATAGTATTTATCAAGCACTTATTACATGCCAAACACTGTAGCTAAGACCTAAGTGCTAGGGATTCAAATGCAAAGATAGTTATTGCCCTCAAGGAGCTTATATCATAGTAGAAGGAGAACCCATCTATAAACGGCATGACTTTTCCAGAAGCAATGGTAGTCATGATTTGGTTACTGCTCTTAGAGCATGAAGTAGTAAGCAAGGAGTGACTTGGGGGGAAGAATCAATAGGGCTAACAGCAAGAAAATAACGTACAAGTGGACAGGAGGTGAAGCATATAGTCTGGGGGCTGACTAGATAAAGTGAGCTATGGGATATGTGTATTTGCTGATGTGCCAATCAAGACAGCATAATTTCATACTGATGGTTACAAAGTAGAGAGAATTAAGTCACTGAGGGTACAAATAAGTCCCAAAATTGTATTTAACTGTGGCTTGGGCTAGTATTTCTGCTTCTTTGACTTGTGCAGTTTGCTAATTCCACAAAAGACTGAAAAACAGCCTTACGGTAACAAGTTGAGTTGGGGATTTTCCACATTTCACTTCAGAGATTAAAAATTAAAATACTAATTATATTTTTGACACAGTTGTTTCATTGATAATGAAAAATGGTACATCTTGTTCATTAGTTTCCTACTTTAAAATATTAGTGACATTTTACTTTTTCCTTGTTTATGACAGATAGACAGAACTCACAGAGTAGCTGCATTTTAATAAGATAATTTACATTTTTGAGGAGAAAAAAAATTTAAGTCATCAAATAGTTCTTGAATGAATTAAAAACAAGTTACATCAAAGATTTCAGAAATGTTTACTTGACATTTTTTGTTTAATACCTATGCGGTGTGGAGATGAGACTGAGTTGTTAAAAATTATGCCAGTGAAGTGCCAATATTGTACTACCAATATGAAAAAGTTTCTACCAGTATAAAATGGTTTCTAGTAAGGACCAGGTGATAGACTACACGTTTGTCCTCCAAAGATCTAACCTAAATTCATAAGCGATCATCATCAGATGGTTTTGTCACTAGGTGATGATTTTAGCAATCATGTTTATACTAGACATGATCAGAATGTCAGTACCAGTAGGACCAAGAGAGGTAAAATCATGACCCTCAAAGTACTGAAGGGCAACAGATATGCCTTAAAAAATAAAGGATTCTAAGACCAAACAGGGAAGCCAGGAAACAAAAGTTAGTAATAATTCCATTTATTCCCTATTATTCAATGACTGACACACAGATCCCACCTGTGACTCTCACCTGACCCCTAATACAATCCTCCTTTACCATCTCTCTGCCCAATTATCTAAATCCTTCAAGTACCCAACTAAAACACCTCTCCTGACCACCCCAAAAGGAAAAATTATCTCTTTTCTCTGAACTTCTCTACCACTTCTTTTGTCCAGAACATTTAGCACTTATCACATCATTTGTTATCTTCCCTTCTAAATGTTTGTCTTCTCAACTCCACTGTGGGCTCCTTGAAAATAGAGGCAATGTTACATAATTCTTTGAATCCTTTACAATACCTAACAGTTTCTTTCATTTATCTTGGATAGAATTGAGCATGTTTCCCATTCTTAAGAAAGAAATTAAATTCTATTTTCTGTACTTTAAGAAATTTTTCTCATTGAATGAATAAAAACATTTTCTATAAAAACTGATGTGGAGAAATTCCAGGAGCCAAG